TATAAAGATTATTAAAATGAATAGGCTACGTATGGATGACAGTTGATTACAATATTTCAGTTTATTTCCATCATTAGTAACAGTTTCCCCTGTGGGACAAATAAAGTTCATATTAGTCGTATATTAATAATAGGCTACTTCATTAACTATGTTATTTACTATCCCTGTTGTAGTAATATTCATAAGTAAAAACCAACAAGATTTGTTATTTCACCATGTTTCCAAATTCTCTACCCCAGGTCCAAAAAATGTAAAGAATGTACAAACTGAAAACATTAAATACTTTTGTAATCTATTTCCATTTGTTATTTTCAAAAGAGAAATACTGTCATGGATGTTTACAGAGCAGAGGTCACTTTTTTAAAATTCCAATGGGAGAGATGGACTTTTGTTTGTCTTTTGTTTATTATTATGTTGTGCTGTATTGTTGGTTAAGGTGTTATTTCTGTTTCAAAAGCCAGCAATAAATAACACTTTAATATCTAAAGAGTGTTCATGTGATTTTATACATTAGTAATGTTGGGAAATTAATAAATGTATAATAAGCGTCACAATCGTAAAACTGTGATTATTCCTCAGACAATAATCGTACCAACAAAATCTATAATCGTTGCTTCCCTAGTCATGCTGCTGTGTTAAATATAGCCACATGGGCTCAGGAGTACTTCAGAAAACTGCTTGTCACTTCACACAGTCTGCCACTGCATCAATAAATGCAACTTGAATCTCTGTTCCTCAAGGAGAAAGCTATACGTCAATTATATGCAGTGATGCCGCTGGGTTCTCTGGGCCAGAGGCTCATCTCATATAGTCAGAAAGACAATGGAAATGTGAGAAAAAATTTGCTTGCAAAAATAAAACAATTAGTATCCTCAATTCCCAAATTAAACATTGTAATTAAAAGGAAGGTTGATGTGGCACAGTGTTAAAAGTGCCTCTGTCCAAACTTTTTTGAAGTGTTGTAATGTCAGATTACTTTTATTAGGGAATTAATTATTATTAATTAATTCAGGTTTTGAGAGGACTCGAATCTGAAAATTCGGAGTCAACCTGATTAGAACTGATTTCAAATTTTAATAGTTTACACTTTATCAATGGTCGTCCAGCGAGACGTTAACGTCTGTGTACATTACTGATTCTGTTCATATTACTTCGTGGCCAACGACACAAACAAAATGGTAATCTTATTAATTTTTGAGCAAGGTGACAAGGATCTAGGCAGAGTTTTAACTTTAAAATGTCACGACACAAGACAGTGATTCTTTATAAATGAAACAAGAATTTAGAATTTTGGCTATTCTAGATTACATTGACCTAAGCTAAGACATACACATACACACACACACACACATACAGGTCTGAAGAATGAAAGTTACGGAGTTTGTATGAAGTTCCCAAAGTTCTAACTCACTGTCTCTTTCTCCAGCGGTATGGGTTCTGTAAGTCTTTCAAGGTTGGAAATGAAGAACCAGAAGTGGAATGTGAGATTTACAAAGCTCAGGTATAACACTCTATAATATACTTTTCATTCAGACCAGTCAGACCAAGTTAATTTGTCCTGACTAGCTGTATTGCCTTTGCTCTAATTATTTCAGAACATAGCTCATCCAATGAAACACCCTGCTCAGTCAAGAAAAGACTGTAAATTCCATGGCTTCCCACCCCCCCACTATCCAGGACATAACCTGCCTCACCCGGAACATGCAAGCCATGAGGACAAGGGCGGGGACAAAAGGCCTAACCGAGGGGGCCGTCCAGGACACGCAAGCCATGAAGACAAGGGCAAGGACAAAAGGCCTGACCAAGAGGACCATCCACAACAAGCAAGCCATGAGGACAAGGGCAGGGACAAAAGGCCTGACCGAGGGGGCCGTCCAGAGCATGTAAGCCACGAGGACAAGGGCAGGGACAAAAGGCCTGACCGAGGGGGCCATCCAGAGCATGTAAGCCATGAGGACAAGGGCAGGGACAAAAGGCCTGACCAATTGGCCCG